CTTTCGCCGACATCGTCAGTGAGTCTCGCCATTCTTAGCACCACACAACAACTCGTCAAAGAGACAAATGGAGCCGATCCTTTGACCAAACGTGTACTAAACAGTTGTGGTATCTCCCCTTCTGCCCTGGCCTATTCACATTTCCCATATCCTCCTTACATGCCTTCCCTGTCACAATTTTTACCGTGCTTATTTTTAATGTAGTGCGGTATAAAAGGGACATACTACAACTGTTTAGCACACGTTTGGTCAAAGGAAATCCTTCACTTGTCTCTTTGACTAACTATAATATGATGCTACAAATGACGAGACTCATTAGCGATGCCGGCGAAACTTCTGGGAATGTACCAGGTCCATGGTTCATCTTTGGAAATGATCATGCAGACAATGGACTCCGGAAAAGGTGTGTTCCTCTAAGTCTTCCTACCAATATGACCAAGTTGCGAAAACAAGGTCAAACAACTTCTGTTTGGTCTTTTGTTAATAGTCGATACGTTGTAGTGTTCCCGAGAATATTTTCCATTTTCTCTCTATATTCCTTCCAGTCTATCACCACTGTGTCACCTCTTTTGTCGGCTTGTTTGAGTATTTAATCGTTTCTTTTCAGTTCTCTATCTATCACGTGTGGTTTCTTGATCCGTCAAGTTTGTTAGGGTTATTTAATCTTTTTGACTTTTCATTTAACTTTTTAAAGGTATTTATCACTGGTTACCTTTATGTCTCAACGTTGACTTGAGAATTTTACAAAAACGAAGCTCAGCTCTGATGATATCCATGATATGCAAAACACAAGCTCAGCTCTTCTTCGCCCGAACGGAGGGAGGATGTCTCTGTAGCCAAACGGCTACAGTAGAACGACAATTGACTTTCGTCTTCTGGTGAAATCGTCTTACAAACCATTTCTTCTCGCACTTTAATGCAAAATGCAGGTCTACACAACAATGGAGTTCACACATCATTGCCTACCGAAAGGATTTCCCAATTAGGCTGGACTGATTATCAGCAGCTCGACCTGCGGGTTTCAAAGCTGGGCCGTGAGTATCTTGGCGACACACCATCACTCCGCAAGACCTTCGGCCACGGCAGCAAGTAGGTCGCGGGGCCGATGTGTTACCGTCAAGGCCTACTCAAATAACTGTGGTAAAAACTCCACTTTCGTTCATAGGCTGACTATGAACATATCCGAGACTTACAGCCCCGAAACATCCTCATTCTGAGAATAAGTAATGCTGTCGACTGTAATGGCAAATTGCAATGTTGTTCTATCGTTAATTTCATTGCAAAATGTTATTTAGTTGAAATCTGGCAAACGAGTATATGCGGCTGCTTGGCGGAATGGTAGCAGGTTACAAGAATGTACACGACAGGGTTTCAGCTCGTGTTGGTGTGGTGGTGGAACGACGGGGCGAGGTGAAAACTGCAATCCAGCCGAGATGAGCAAATCTTTTCTGAGACAAGACTATGCAAAGTGTGAAGGTATTATGAGGCGAGCTCAACTCATTTTGTGTATGTATGTAGAGCTTCAATACTACCAGTAAATCAGTAGTATGAGATGTATTCACCCTATTTCGTTTAATGTGATGAAGGAATGGTAGTAGAATTTTCCCACAAGGATATGAGTAGAGCCTTGCTTTCCCAAAGGTTGTTCTCGTCCCGGCTGGAGTGGACTGTAGTGTCGACCTCACGAATATATCTTATCAACACCCCCAGCGGGAGTCGAGACTGCAGTCCACCCTGAATGAGAACACCTTTTGGGAAAGCAAGGCTGTGTGAAATTGAATGGAAACGTCAGCTCTACTCATATCGTTGTGGGAAAAT